TTCCTGACCGCTGTTTTGGGAAAAGCTGTATTGTTTTCAGTATATTGCCACCCAGTCACTCTAAAAAATTTGCAGAATTTGTCAAGAAAAACAATTTGTATGCAAAACTACAAATGTTTTTTTTTTTTTTTTAAAGTATAGGAAGTAAGATTTCCTGCCAAAATAAAGGTCATAGAAAACTGAGAATAGAGATAGTACATGTAAAATGTCACCAGTAAAAGTTTCCTGTGGAAATAACCAACACTCAGAACATTTAATATTTACTAGGTATTAGTAACTTCCAACTCCTTTATAGTGTCATGGAGCCCAATGACTTGTGTGTCCATCCCCAGGGCTTCTATATCTTATCTGGATCCATCTTCACTTCAGTAGATAATAAACCATGAGCAATTTTTTTTTGTGTGTTTTAATTCTGAGGCGAATCCAGGACCTCCCTTGACACTAACCTGAATCTCCAGGTCAGCCCACAGCTAGTATTTATGCATGTGTTGAATAAAAAGTTTTAACATAGTAACAGTAAATGTTCATAATCTCTTCCTCTCTCTCTCTCACAGAGGGAACACACCAGAGCATTATGCATGCCAAGTACACACTCTACCCCTGAACTGCACCTCTAGCCCCAGTACCTTTATTCCTGTGCTACAAAGGAAACGGTACTTAGCTCTGAGGTTATTTATACATGGCTATTACTCAGTAGGGTGAAGAGGTGAAAGTTTATAAGTTTGTTTTTTGTTTTGTTTTGGTTTGGTTTGGTTTTGGTTTATCAAGACAGGGTTTCTCTGTGGCTTTGGAGCCTGTCCTGGAACTCGATCTGTAGATCAGGCTAGCCTCATACTCACAGAGATCCACATGCCTCTGCCTCCCAAGTGCTGGGATCGAAGGCTTGCACCACCAACACCCAGCAGTTTATAAGTCTTTAGGAAACATTTCTCAAAACAAAAACCAGCACAAACAAAACCCATCTTGGCCTTCCTCTTCTATCTCCTGCAAATTATGGTCTTGGCAGATAATTTCTATCTTGTTCATTACAATATGTCATGAACAATTTGTTACATCTTCTTTATTTAATGTGTGTGTGTATGTCTGTGTGTGAGTGCACACAACCATGCATTTGCACATGTACCATGGTGAGCATGCAGAGTCAGAGGACAACCTGAAAGAATTTGGATTCTCTTGTGTCTCAGGAATCATGTCAGGTGTCAGGTTTGGTGGCCAGTCCCATGACAGTATCTCTGACATCATAGCAAACACATGTTCAACACTTTTTCTTGATTATGAAGTCTTGCTGGTCATCTCTAGAGAACAGTAAGACTGTCACTGTGTAATATTTAATTAGGTAAAATTAAATGTAAAGTTTAACTGTGTTTCACATGAAAATACTCATACTGATAATTTCATAGAAGCTAACCAGACACATCCATTCATATTCATTTAGAGAAGTATAGAATTCTGACAGTCTGCATGTGTGTATGTGTTGTGTGTGTGTCTGTGTTCTGTGTGTCTGTCTGTGTGATGTGTGCATGCCTAAGTCATTGTCCACCTTATATTTTTGAGACAGAGTCTCTCCCTGCACCCTGAGCTCCTGATTGGTTAGTCTGGTCAGGCAGTGGGATCCAGGGATCCCCTGTCTCTACCTCCCCAGGCTGGGATCACAGGTGCCCATCACTGAGAGAGTTATTTTTATATTATTTAAATGTAGATTCTGGGATTTGACCTCCAGTCTTCATGCCTGTGCAGCAAGAACTTTACCAACTCTGCCATCTCCTCAAGCCACTCATCAGACATAATGAAAACATCACTTCATACTTTTAACAACTGCAGACTTACACTGGTGGGCTGTGTTGATGCACCCCTGGTATTCCAGCAGTCTGGAGGCTGTGGCAAGGAAAACTCAAGTTTAAGGTCAATTCAGTAACAGAGCATTACAGGCCAGACTGAGGTACATAGCAAGACTTTGTCTCTGAATGAAAAAAAAAAAATTGAAACACGAACAACAAAGGAAAGTAGCTGTTCTGGGTAAGCCATTCAGTTTTATCTTTCAGTGATAAAGCAGATAGAGACTGGGAATCACACGCTTCATAACATTTAATGTAATGGTTGTGAGGAAGGAAAGACCCCTGTATGAATGACATGAGCAGTCATGGATCCAATGCCCCAGAGCCAAGGGCATGCAAGGCTTTCCCCTGATCCAATTAGGGGTGTTGACAGTGCTGGAAGTGTTACCCCAGCTTCCTCCTCCAGACTGACTGCTGCCTGAGGCTGCTCCCTACAGAGACACCTGTCAAGATTAGCAGCTTGCTTTTTGTTCAGCTGTCTGCAGTAAATACACTGAGCTTCTAGGCTGCTGGTACATCTCCATCTAAGCACACAACCCACCCAATCCCAGCTTCTCTGCACCTGTCAAACAGTGGCAACCTCGTTTTCATAATAGCTAAGATACCTGCATAGCTAACTAAGCAATGGTTTCTGCTGTCTGGCACTCTCCAGAACTATACAAACCAACAGACTGTAAGCTGTCCTGTGGATCAAAATTGTAAGCAATTCAAATGTCTCAGCTAAACCATCTTGTATTGTTGGCTTAGAAATCTTGACTAGCCCATAAGGATGAATAAGATGTTGTGCACAGAAGTACTTGCTAAAGACCAAGGAAGCAAATACTTGCATAAGGTCATAGGGTTTAATTTTATAACAGCTTTGGCAATCCTGGAACTAGCTCTGTTTACCAGGATGGCCTCTAACTCACAGAGATGTGCCTTCCTTTGCCTCCCAAGTGGTGGGATTAAAGGCATGCGGGACCATTGTTCCAGCTGATCAATTCTTTTAACTAGAGATCTCTGTAATGCCCCTGGTTCTGGTGAGCTGAGACTAATGGACTCCCAGAATGGTTTGCCTAGAAAGAAAATACCGGTGGTGGCCAGGAGGTGGCGCTCAGATGTCAGGGAGTTCCAGGAGGGGTGGAGCCCTGTGTAAAGATTCCCCCACAGCCACACCATAACCCCTTCGTGCCCGCCGGGTAAACGTTCTCCGCATCCCTGAGCTAAGGTATGAATATGGAAACTGAGACACAAAGTCTCTGTTCTCCACAGGCTGGCCTTAAATTTCTGCCGCCACAATTTTCAGCAGAGCAGCATGTAGTTAGTATGTTCTTAGATTTCTAACACAGGGAGCAAGATAGGCCTGTTCCTCTGCAGTGATAAGAGCTCACCCAGGAGATGGGGGAGGGAGCAGTTTCTGTAATCTGGTGTCAGAAAGGACTAAAGGTGCTTTGGTTTTTATCAGCTCTAGGGAAGGCTGAAGATGGGGCCTGACTCTGAGCTGCTACCAGATAGTGTGTGAGAGTCGAGCTCTGTGAGGCCACTCAGAGTACACAGAGTGAAGATGTGCTGAGGGGAGACAGCTGGCTGCTCCTGTTACCCACTGCTTTGTCTTAGGTGTGTCCATGCTAGGTCTGTGTTACACATGGATGAATTGCCTTGTCTAGTGTATTTCTTTGATCATCACTTGAAGAGAGCCCTGAGGAAAAGAAAGAGCAGTGAAAGACTTTGTATTTGATGTGAGGTAGGGATTGTAGTTGATATTTTTCCATGTGGCTGTCTTCTGTAGTCTTCACAGTTGAACAGGCAGGACTTTCCCAGCTGCTGAGATGACTCAGTGGATAAAATTGCTTGTCACACAAACTTACTGCCCTGAGCTCAGTCCCTGGACATATGAGAATGCCCTCACCTGAACACTGTGGCATGCACACACCTGCTTCAAACACACACCACTACAGCAATAAACAAGTAAATAAATACATGATTACAAATTTGAAAGACAGTCAGTTGGAGAGATGGCTCAGCAGTTAAGAGCACTGGGTGTTCTTCTGGAAATCCTGAGTTCAATTCCCAACAACCACATGGTGGCTCACAACCATCTGCAATGAGATCTGGTGCCCTCTTCTGGCCTGCAGGCTGACATGCAGGCAGAACACTGTATACACAATACATTTTTAACAAAAATTTTAAAAGACTTGACATTTCTTTCCTCAATGAACTAGCATGTTAACTTATAAAAATGAATTGGTCATATATTCTTGGTATCGTTTAGTCCCTTTGTATTTCTGCAAAACATTTGCCAGCAGATCATCACTTTCTCTAAGAAGACCTGTTGGGAATTTGGATAGAAGCCCATGGAATCTGTTTGTCAATTGGCAGGACTCAGGAAAACCTCTTGGGGGTCTGTAGGTATGAATGAGTAATGTGACTTGATTCTGTTATCTCCTTTATAAAATTATTATTTTGTGTCTATGGGTGTGTTGCCTGTATGTCTATGTACCATGTGATGCAGTGCCTGTGGAGGCCACAGGAGGGCATCAGATCCCCCAGGAACTGGAGTTGCAAACAGTTGTGAACCACCATATGGTTATTGGGAATGAAATCTGGGTCCTCTGTGAGAGCAGCCAGTGCTTTTAGCCACTGCATGGACATGGTGTCCACACAGCAATAAAGGAGGATCTGCCTTCGTCCTCAGGCACTGAAACTCCTGTCTTAGTTTAGGACACCACGGCCACAGCAACTCTTACACAGAAATACTTCACTGAGGTGACAGCTTACAGTTTCAGAGGTTCATGAGGAGCCTGGCGGGGTGAATACAGACGTGCTGCTGGCTACATCTTGACCAAAAGGCATCAAGAAGTTGAATGATGGTCACACTGAGTGAAGCTTGAGAAGATCTCAGAGCCTGCCCCCACAGTGACTCTCTTCCTCCAACAAGGCCATACCTCCTTGTAGTGTCACTCTCTTTGGGGGCCATTTTCTTTCAAAGAACTACAACCATCGTGTGGCATCCCACACAGAGACTCAGAGCTTCAGGCCAGTGAGATCAGCATCTCTTCCCCTACCCTGCTAAACATATGAAATAAGAAAAGAATTCAAAAAAGCGATAGATACTGATACATTATGATTAATACCTTAGTATACCAGCTATTTTAATGGTAAACATTTGTGACAAAAAAAAAATCATAGTAGAAATGTGCAGTTTTCCAATATGCTTGCAAAATGACAGACAAGGGTGAGCACTCTCTCAGGGATGGTGAGTGGATAAGCACACAGTTGAGCTCTGTGATAAGTTAGACAGACAGGAAACCAGAGCAGCTTCCTGACGTTATGGAGATGAAATTCTTCCAGGGCAGCTTCTGAGCACCACTCGTCTTAATTTTAACAAGGAAAACATCCACATTGTCAGCTATTTAAAATCTTCGCACAATTGGCTTTGGCTCTGAGAGTGTTTCTCCAAAAGTTATTTCCCTTTCTGAAGCCTCTTCACCCGTGAGTAGGGACTCAGTGTGTCATCTGTCACAAAATCATACAGTACTTTGATCCAGGAAGTGTGATGGGGGAGTTTATCATAGTATTCAGCTGCTATTTTCCTCAGCTGTAAGAGAACATACACAGTAAGGTAAACTGACTGTTACTGAAGCCTCAAGATGACAGCTGAGTGTCTGACAGACTGGGGGACAAATACCAAGTGAGCCAAAGGGAAACACCCTTTCTCATGGTCCTTCAGATGGCCTGCAGTTCTTCATGAATAAGATGTCTGCAGATCACATGACATAAACAGTTTAGTCTCCAAGTCCACACTGGACTTGGGACAAAGCAATCAATTTACCTTAGCAACTGGAATACAAAGACACTGGAGTTCCAAAATTGTAAAACAACAGCCGATCAGAGCCTGAATAAGCATTTAAAACATTCACTAAGAGTAAAAGTATATCAGCAACCAGGATGACACAAAAGATTATAAATTATAAACATTTAAGGGACATAAGATAGAAATGAATAAATTTTCAACATTATGTATGGATTATAAATTCTAGGGAATTTATTTAGCCATATATCCAATATTATTAAAATGCCTACATAATACTTGGATGTTTATTGTTGTAAGGCAGGCTTGCCGTATTTATAACATCTATATGTTTTATAAAGTTATGGGTAATTGGGAAATGCAAGCACTTGCTGCCACTACTAAAGCTCTGGATCCAATTCCCAGAATGTGCTGTGTGATATTTTGATTGTGTTCTGACACATAAAACTTGCTTGGAGACAGGGAGTGGTGGTGGGGGTCTGCAAAGGCTCTTGGCCCTTTTAGACTAAGGAACTGAAGAGATAGGAAAAAACTGGTGGCTACTCCCTGTTCTCTTTCAGAATCTTTCAGGTTCTTACCCCAGTATTCGATGCCCATATTTTTATTGATAAAGATTAATTAAATTAATGTTTCAAGAATCTACACGGTAGGAGAGAACCAACTCATACAAATTGTCCTCTGACCTCCATGCAGGCACACACACACACACACACACACACACACACACACACACACACACACACACACACGAGAGAGAGAGAGAGAGAGAGAGAGAAATATAAATATTTTTTAAGAATTATGTGAACTGCAAATCTCACTAAAACTAAGTTTTTAAATAGTTAAAAGTTTGAATTTTAAAATACTTTTGTAATGGAAATATTCTGCAATTGATTAATAGGATAGCTGCATATTGTATGAATATTCTAAAACCTACTTCAAATGGCTATTTTATATATGGGTTATACACACATAAACATACAGAAACACACATATGTGTGTATAGATAGATAGATATGTATGTATGTATGTATGTATGTATCTTGGTTTTTCAAGACCAGTATTCTGTGTGTAGCACTGGTTGTCCTGGAACTCCTTCTGTAGATCAGGCTATCCTTGAACTTAGAGATCTGCCTGCCTCTGCCTCCTAAGTGCTGGAACTAAAAGTATGTGGCATTATGCCTAGCACTGTATGCGTTGTTTTAATGTAGCTATTAAAAGTCAAAAAGGTGTAGCTCAGAGATACATGTTTGCCTATCATGCATTATGCCATGGTTTCATCTCTAGTACCACAAACAAGCAAATGAACTAACAAAATGTCCATTTTATTATTACATTTCCAGCAATCACTTAGTAAGTATAAAAATTTAAATACTACAATTAACTGTGTAAAATAACAGCAAGTTATCAAGAAACAAAACATGATGTTCTTTGATATATATCTTAGAAAGGTCAGGGAAAGCTAAACTAGTGAAATCTAGAGATGTTTGTACGATTAGCAGTTCAGTAAAAGCACGCAGCAGGATGAGAGAGGGCTGTGAATTCTAAGGGGGTTACTATGGGCCTTAAGTCAAGATGTCTGATCTGAACTAAGTTTTCAGTATTAGGATGGGTACAGAAAGTTACACACACTTTTCTATGGGGTTTATGTTGGAAAATTTTTCATGTTCAAAGGATTACTGACTTAATCTCTAAGGCAGACCCACTTAAAAATAATAAAAGTCCTAGGCTAGAGAGGTGGCTCAACAGTTAAGAGCACCTTCATTCTTGTAGAGAACCCGAGTTCAGTTCCCAGCACCCACATGGCAGCTCACAACTGCCTGGAACTCCAATTCCAGGAGATCTGACACCCTCTTCTGGTCTCCTTGAGCACAAAATATGCACGTGGTACACATGCATATGTGCAGGCACTCACACATACACAGCAGACGTCAACAGAAGGTACACCAGAGATTCAGGGCAGACTGACACCAAGGAATTGGGGGCCCGCATCACACTCCACACGCTTCAGGTTGTGTTCACACAGTAGGAGCTGCTTTCCTCAAATACTTCATTCTTAAAATTTTAACCCAGTTGAACACAGTAGTCCTCAGGCACCCATCACTGGGTTGGAAGTGTGACAGTTACCCGTGGCAGTTACCCTCTGAAATGTTCTGCACAAAACAAAACCACACTCTTTGTTCTCCTTGATGAATCTATTGAAATTAAATTGCAGACCTCATGCGTGAGTTCCAGAAAACTTAACATTGGTATTTCATCCCTCAATATGTCAACACGTGTTTCCAAAAGGTGTCACTCTGTAAACCAGAAAACGTTTTTACTATAACACATTATACAAGTCCATGCAAGGAAAAAATGATACTCCATGCCAGGGACATACATAGCATTGCGAAATGATGTCTACCCATTTTTCAGAACACTTACACAGGATTTCACGGTTCTAAGGGACAAGTCAACTCACTCCACGTCTTTCTGTATGGAAGTTTCACAAAGCAGCAATAGTAATTTGTGAACCAGTCCACCCTTTTCAGCAAAGCACATCAGGGCGACGGTTACAAAAGCTCCCCACCCTGAGATTGCTGTTCACTTCACAGTGTGTCCTAACTTCGAGTTCGTGGTCTTTGAGTGAAAGTGGCCCCCATGGGAAGGATTGGGAGGAGGTGTGTCACTGGAGTGGCCTTTGATGTTTCAAAGACCCAGGCCTGCTGCAGTCTCATTCAGCACCATGCCTGCCTGCTGCCGTGCTCCCTGTGGTGATGATCATGGGCTAACCCTCTGAAACTGCAAGCCAGCCCCTAATTAAATGCTTTCTTTTATAAGTTGCCTTGGCCATGGTGTCTCTTTGCAGCAATAGATCATGTTATTTACTGGATAACAGGTTTTACACCTCTCCCAATACTTCTGGACCTTAAATGTAACCACTAAACTTAAGACTCTAAAAGAGTTCCCTTAGTAAAAACTAGCTATTGGGTATTAAATGTATATTAAACTTTGATTTTCATTTTAATGAGCAGCTTTGGTTGATAACTAGCTTCCTTTGAAAATGATCCAGTCAAGACTAATTTGGAGTATACAGTTATTAGAAACGAAAATATTTACCAAATCTTTTACTTACCAGGGGCAGGTTTTTTCCAGGAATGTTGGGGAAGTCATGGTGTTCATTATGGTAGCCCAGATTGAAGGTCAATAAATTCAGAGGCCCATAATATGAGTACGTTTCGTGCCCCTTTAAGAACATGTAATGTTCTGTTATAAAATGCCCGGCAATCGGGTGCAAACCCAGGCCAAGCAGGGAGGCTGCCAACATGTAGACTAAAGATTTAATTCCAAAAACATAGTAAATTATAATGTCAAAAATAACCTGAGCCACAGCATTAATGATTTCTAGAAAAGTAATTGGTTTGGGGTTGATAATTAGAGGCCGTAAAATCACAAAGAGAGGCTGAAGGACAACCCAGACCAGCTTCCTGTGAGTGGTGCAGAAGAACCAGGCCTCAAAATCAGTAGGAATATCCACATCGATGCCATCAGCTCCCAGGTACCGATGATGGTCCCTGTGATAAATTTTATAGGAAACGGAATACGGAACCCCAATAGGGAGGTTAGCAAATATTCCAAACCAGCGGTTCCACAGTGCCCTGTGGTGGCCGAAGGGGAAATTGTGGGTAATTTCATGGATCGCCGATGTTGTTGAGTGGTTAATGGAGCTGCCAAAAACATAAGACCAAAATAGGACCCATTTCCACTCCAAGTCTTGGACTAAGTAGAATGAAACTAGCTGGGCAAGAAACATCATGGATATGATCCAGATCAGGTTGGGGTCAGGTCTCATCAAGGATTTGATCTCTGGATATTTTGCTGCAAGAAAAGAAAATACAGTAAGAATCATAGATGGAGTTTGGTGTAATTATAATTATAATCAATTATGTTTAAGTGAACACATTGAAGAAATTATACTTGAAGGAGCTGGGGAGACGGCTCACTGGGTAAGAGCACTTGGTGTGTAAGCATGAGGACCCAATTCAATTTCCAGTACTGAGGCAAAACTACATACAGGTAAGGCTTACCATGCCTATAACCCTAACACTGTAGAATGTCACAGGAGGATCCCCGGGCTTGCTGGCCACCAGCCCAGCTCCATGTTCAGTGAGAGACCCTGTCTCAAAGGAATAAGGTGGAGAGTGACAGGGCAGCACACTCAATAACCGCCTCTGGATTCTGTGCAGACAGGAGCTACGGACACCCACACATGTGCACATACACCATACACATATACCATGCACACAGTTCACACACACACACACATAAGAAATTATAGTGACATTAACGCATTAATTACATTTTTCTCAAAATCATAATATTCCCATTATTAAAAGCATAACCAAATATTTACGTGCTACTGGGAAACAATATTTTCATGGCAAATTCTAACATACTGTAACATAACAACTTGAGAACTTACTAAAAATCTGGAATGTCCATATCTTTACTTCTTCTTACCCACCTGCCCAACAGGGTATCACAATGTACCTCTGGCTGTCCTGGAACTCACAGTGTAGACCAGGCTGGCCTCGAACTTACAGAGATCCTCCTGCCTCTGTGTCCCAAGTGCTGGGATTAAAGGCAGGCACCACTATTCCTCATTGAATAGTCCAAATCTTTTCAATGATGTGTTCTAATTATGCTTTAACAAATGGAATCTCTCCATTATTAACACATCTGACAAAGGATAGATACATTTTAAAGTGTTCTACAATGTGAAAGTTATCTTCATGGCTCTCATGAACAAATCAACTCATTCCAAGTCATCTGTACTGAATTTTCAAAAACTAGTAATAGTTAAAAAACTACAATAATAGAGGTGTGGGCTCCAAGAGGCAGCGGTGGGGAGCACAGCACCACTCTTGGGCACTTAGTCCCACAAGCTCCTTCAGCTGAAGTGCGTCCCAGGAGTAGGAGCCCAACTGAATAGAGTGGGGTGGAGTGTCTCTCCATCTGCGTTGTCCATGTATACCCACAGGGGAGTGTTTGTAAAGCACAAGGGGGACTTCTAATACTAACCCTGACTGTAGATTTAAACTGTATGGGTATCAGCTGTTAAAACAGCATCTATGAGCCTGGAGGTAGTGGTGGCTCACACCTTTAATCCCAGAACTTGGGAGACAGAGTCAGGCAAATCCCTGTGAGTTTGAGGCCAGCCTGGTCTACAAAGTGAATTCCAGGACAGAGAGGACACAGAGAAACCTTGTCTCAAAAAACCAAAATAAATAAATAAATAAATCTATGATCTCTTCTGTCTCCTCCTATGAAGAAACGTGCCAGAAGTCTCAGAGATATGCCATCATGTCAATGTAATTTAAGCAAACATCCTGATTTTCTTGCCTAATGCCATCTGTCTCTGCCTTCAGAAATGGACCCTAAGCATCTCTTGGGCATCTTGGAAAACCAAGTACTACTCATTGAGAAGTGTAAAGCCTTTTCTGCTTTGCAGCTGGGATGGTTCAATTCAAAGATTGTAGGGAGACTTCCTGTTGGGACAGGCATCAATTACAACATCTCATTTCTTTAATTTTTAACTATTGATGAGAACATGAATTCCAGTGTTTGAGAATCAGTTTTCATAAGAGTGGATATCACATTATCATTTTTATGCAATATGTAGATAAGCATACAGAAAAATTACCCCATGCCATCTCTTATTGAGTATGCATAAGTGAATTGCCAAATGAGAGAGAGAGAGAGAGAGAGAGAGAGAGAGAGAGAGCATGCAAGAATCTAGTCTCCCTGCCCCAAAGTCTCCTGGGATTCTGTGTAAAGCACCTGTCCTGGAACTCACAAAGACCATGAGGCTCCACCTCCTGGAAGCTGAGATTAAATGAGATTAAAGGTGGTTGCCATCTCCAGGCTTGCCCAACCTCTTCTAAAAGGCTACCCTTGATAATCAACTTCAAGTTTCTCTCACCATCAGTAATTGAGCTGTTAACCTTGATTTCAATGGAAACTACTGAATCATTCATGAAATAAGAGGTTTCTAGCTTTAGATACTCATAAAAATTAGGGCCTTATCTGAGGACAAACAGACATCAAGAGAAAGGGACCTACTGGGTATAGGAGAGAGCTCCAGGGGCTAGGCGTGTGCCCCAGCACTGGAGGGAGGGACTGCTCACATTCAAGGCCCCTCCCACCCATGCCTTTGGTCTTAAACAGAGAGAACAGGTTAAGAGCACGTTCTTTGCAGGCAGTCTAACCCAGGTTAGCACCCTCCTCCTAGCATCTATGCCCTCCATTCTCACCACATCTTTTCAAAGGCAGAAAAGTCAAAACACTCAGTGCCATAAAGAACCCCGCTCAAACGCCTGAGGGGTCATGAAGAGCAGCCTGGGAGAGAGGAGAGCCTTCCCTGTGAACACAGACGTGCTCAGTGCACCCTAGAGCAGGAAGACCTGGTTGGTCTGGCTTTAAAGCCTAAAGCAACATCGAGGAGACCCCCCAGACCAAGCTTGTTCAGCCAGTCACCCATGTTTCAGTCTCTTTAATCCCAAACCTCAAAGGGAAAAAAAATGCCTTCAATTCTGTCTCGAGGGCAGATGTGGGTATGCCAGGACCTGTCCTCTCTAACAGTCCTAGAGTTACAGGCCAGGGTGCTCATCCCTGCTACTTCTGTCTCTCTCTTAGGGTCACATGAGTGTGGCTCCAACAGCAGACCCTCAGCATCGTGCAATGTGCTTCCTATGTCTGCTGCCTGGCTTTGTCCCCCTGGAGGCATTTGAGGAGGCACTGAATAGCTACCTAGCTCAAGAATCTCTGAGTTGGAGGATCTTGCTGGAGACAGCCCTGCCAAAGGGACCCTTAGCTGAAAGGTCAGCAGAGGCAAGATGAGTCAGGGGACCAGCCTTTTCCTCCTAAAGAAAGGCCAGTGCAGCTCAGAGACAGGGAGATCCTGTGACCTGTTTGTATTTTGTGCCGGGGTCTCCTGAGAGCTTCTCACCTGGATGATTCCAACCACGCCTTGACAATGGGAAGTTGGGGAAAGGAATCCCTGACCTAAATGACATGCATGAAATCTTACCCAAGATCTCCCGGCGTCGACCATTGTGTGGCTGATCAGTGTAGACCCACTCAAAATCTGTCTGTGAACCGTGTTTCTGCATGGCTCTGTGCAGCCCTGTGAGGGTGATGGTGTTGGCCCGAAGCTGTTGCCTATGCCTGTGGTCATCTACATAGGCTGAGTAAACACCGTGAGGGTAGCACTGAACCCTACCCAGTCTCCAGCCCAGACTAGTCAGGGCCTGCCTTCCTGTAAGAGTTCCAATTCCTGCAGTCTATGAGCACCACACCCAATGCCTGAGTCCTGGCAAAGCTGTAGAGGAAAACTCTCCAAGAATCCTATAAGTGTGGACAGAATGTATGGGAAAGTCAAGGCTAAGAATGCACAAAAAAAAAAAAAAAAAAAAAAAAAAAAAGAACCCAACCTGTCAGCCCCTTAAGAACAAGCTGAACCATGCACCATTGAGTTACCAGAGAAAACGTAAAGACTGGCCACAAAAGCAACCATAGGGCCTGAAGTGGAGCTTCCGTGCAGGGGTATACACATAGATGGATGCCTTGGTTCTACTCCCAACAACAATTTAAAAAAGAAAAAAGCTGAAGAAACCGAAAGTCCCCACATGCACACGGGTGACTGCTGAACGTAAAGTGCATGGCAGGGGCTGTCCTGTGCTCAGCGCCCGCACTCCTTTTACAGTCCGAGGTTAGCCTGCAGCCAGGCTGCAAGGACAAGGGAGCCACAACAAAGGACTCACTGTGCCATGCCCTTCACTAAGGTGCTAAGACTGTGGCCTGGGCTAGGCCTTCACGCTCTGAAAGAAACACAGATGGGGCTGTGTCTTAGTTAAGGTTTCTCTTGCTGTGAAGAGACACCATGACCATGGCAACTCTTATGAAGGAAAACATAATTGTGGCTCACTTATAGCTTCAGAAGTTCAGTCCATTACCATCACGGTGTTAAGGCCTAAGATGAGCATGCTAGCAATCCCCATACTTGGAAGGCAGAAGCAGAAAGCTCACAAATTCAAGGCCAACTTGAGCTACAATAGCCAGTGCCCTTATCAATAATACACCGATGGCTGAAACTGACTCAGTGACAGGCTTTTTGTCTAAGCATAGCATGTTCTAGATTCAATCCCCGTTGTGCAAAACAAAACAGCATATAATTATATGTCAATACTAAATAAAAATGTGACATGAGAATCAGATCCAAACTTTCTAGTTGTCAGTTATTTATAAATGTTACAAAAGCATTCCCAAGGCATACAAATTTGCCACGACCAATGGCCTTAGGATCTGCCCTATAAAAATTATAGTTATGAAGTAGCAATGATTTTTTGGGGGGGTTGAGGGGGTCACCACAACATTAGAAACTATATTAAAGGGCTGTAGCATTAAGAAGGTTGAAAATCACTGGTCTAAGGGAATCTCATGATTTATTTGTTGACAAATGAAATTTAAAAAAAAAAAAACAAAAGACATTTTAATAGTACATTGGTAGAAGCATGGTGGAAAAATCTCTATATGGGGCCCAGAGCAGCTTAGCCACACATAATATGGGGCCTGGGACAGCTTAGCCACACAGCTGCCATGACAGGCATAATAGAAAATAGAAACCAGTCAGAGAGTAGACCTAAGTCTTAGTTTACTGTAAGGCAACACTCAGCTCCAGGAGAAATTAAAAGCTGATACCACCCAGGAACTGACCAGCATCTGGGGGAAGTATCTGACATTGTAAAGATTCCAACCATTATAGATATCTCCAGATGTCCCTTAGCCCAGCATACACCTATCCTCTTTCATCAAGACAACCCTAGACAAATGTCAGCCAATCAGGGGTCCCGAACCTCAACCTCTGCCATGATAACAACAGCAACAAAACAACAACAACAAAAAAAAAAAAACACCCCAACTGATCTCAAGACTCTTCAATCTTGTACAGCTGCATCTGACACACAGAGGGTTTAAGTCCGAGCTTGAATAAAGGCTCTTTAAATTTGTATACAGATTGGGACTCCAGTGATCTTTGGGGGACTCCACAATCTAGGCATAACAACCTGGTGTAGGTTTCCTATGCTATTTGAATACATTCTTAGCCATTGGGTTGGTGGAAGCTAATGATATGTTTGTACATCCCAGAAGGACTTAACCTAGTAATCACAGTGTTAGATAATAAGTTAGATACAAATGTGGGCAATGAATGGCAATCAAGAGGGTTACAGATAGCCCATTATAATTTGGTTCAGAAACTACTGAAAGATTTTAGTTTGCAAAGCAAGGATGTAGGAAAGGTAAGAAAAATAGTTCTTGCAAGCAGAATATAGAAAATCACAAAGAATGGACGTGGACATGGGTGGAAAGATCAGGAATTATGAGAACAAGAAAGGTTACTATGGTGATGGGGCTAGTGGTTATATGCCAGGCTGATGTTGCTAAATAGGGCTAGTTACTGAATCATCAAACCTTTGTGGAATAACTGAAGGCTCTAAATGTATAGCCAAGAGAAAGCCAGAGTATGAAAGACTTCTCACAGGTCTTGGCTCACAACAAGGAAACAGGCCCCCAACCCTGGAACAAATGGTCCCAGATGAACAGACCTGTCTGGGTCACACCTGGCCAACGGACAGTCTGGGGACTTTCCAAGTCTTCTATGGTTTTTCCTTGAAGAAGAACAGGTCACACCTGGGTGATCTCTCAAACATGAGATTATACTTTGTAATTATACTTTGTAATCAATCACCTTGTGCCCCATGCATATATGCTGATTGTGGTCTTTCTCTATAAAAAGAGAGCCTAAACCCTTTGGGGGCTGTGTAGCTTTCCCCGAGATTGCTGACACCTGAGTGCACTCATTCAATAAACACCTTTTGCTTGCATCTCCTGGTTTTGGTGTTTGTGTCTCGGGGCTCTCCCATCGGCCCATCAGGACCCCGAAATTAGGGTCTTACACTACAATACTCCATCCCTCAATCACAGAAATTATAACTAGTCAGTCAGCCTTGTAGAATCTTTAACATGGGAGTGGCTTTCACCCCGGACACTCCCACCCTGAGAACTTTGATTCATTTCACCAATGACAATCCTTCAACAAAAGCGTACACTGGATGTGTAACAGTAGCCCTGTCCCATGTGTCTTTAAATTTGCAATTCCCCAGTAACCCAAGTGTGAAAGTTTTGTTCTGTTTTTCTTTTTAATTAATTAATTTAATCTTGTGTTTATTTGTGGTTTGCCTGCATGTATCTTACAGACCAAGTGACTGGCTGGTGCCCCAAGTGTTCAGAAAAGGGAATCTGACCCTATTGGAATTATGGGTAGTTGTGAGCCTCCATATGGGTGGTGAGAGCTTAAAAAGGATCCTTTGCAAGAACAAGTGTTCTTAACCCCTGAGACATCTCTTTACCCTCTGTTTTGTTTTTCATATGCTTATTGGGAAAATGGATTTTTTAAAAAAGATTTATTTCTCCTGTATACAGAGTTCTACCTGAATGTATGCCTGCAGAAGAGGGCAGCAGACCTCATTACAGTTGGTTGTGAGCCACAATCAGTTGCTGGGAGTTGAACTCAGGACCTCTGGGAGAGCAGCCAGTTCTCTTAACTTCTGAGCTATCTCTCCAGCCCCAGGAAACTGGATTTTTTTTTTTTTAATTCTGGTTCCTCATCATTTGCACTGAAATTCAATTATTCAAATCCTGGGTTTATTCTATGTTGAAGTCTTTGTAGCTACACACACAAAGTATATTTCCTCAAAATCCATGTATGTTTGCAATACTTTACAAGCACCCTTGGAAGAACATGAGCTCTTCATTTAAATCAAGTACAATTTATTCTTTATCTCTTACAGTGGATTTCTGTCATAAGAAATATAATCTTCCCCAAGTTTACAAAACTTAAAAAAAAAAGTTAACTGGTATTTTTTTTAACTACTTTTAGACCTACAATGGTTTCTTCATTTAGTAGAAGCTGTGCTTCAGGAATCAGTAAACTATGCCCAGAGAGAAGGACACAGGGCCCTGGAACCCAGACAGGCTGAGAACAGATACCTGACAAACAAAGGACCTGTGAGTCACAGACAGCTGAGAGCTGCACAGCCTAGGGAAAGCAGAAGCTAAAACATTAAGCACCCAGGAAGGATGATCTGGGGAGTCTCAGGGAGTGAGGGAACTCAGCTGGGTCACAGATGGCCAGCAGAGGCCCGTGGTATGCAAAGAAGGAAAACTACTGTTACTCCCACTGGTTGGGAATTAGACCACTACCACAATTTTGAGCCAAATTTGAAGCAAACTTTACTTAAATACTGGCCAGAAGGATGGGTTCTGGCCAGGACCATTCCAGGGTTGCCAGGAAATGGCCACATTTTGCAGCCTTAAAAATGCAAAACCACCATAGGGCCACTGTTTTTCCCATTAGGTCCAATCAAGGGCAAGTAAATATCCTAACGTACTTCCTGCCTGCTCCTCCCACCTACGTCCAATCAGGGGCAAGTGTACATCCTGAGGAATTATTTCCTGCCCACATACTTCCCGTTCACATGTGATCAAGCACATCCAGTGTAGATGGGTCAAACTTTGGACAAACAGGAACTTATTCTTAACTGTCTTAATTGCAAATAGAACTCTTAACCTGCAAGCTATATTTTTCCCATTTGGTCTCCCATTAACTTGTAGGGTGTATTGTTCTTGCTCCTGTTTTGGTTACCAGATGCTTGTCCCATAGACGCAGCAACTGCAGAAACTATGGAAACGATGGACAAGAGTCCACAAGCTCAACAAATCTCTCCACTTCCAAGCATGTAATTGGTTTCCAGTTCTGAGGGACTCAGAAATAAACGGTTCCAGCAATGCCTCCCACCCCTCTGTGCCCTTGAAATCTTCCCATTTTTATTGCATGTCTTGTTAGGGTTTCTATTGCTGTGAAGAGACACCATGACCATGACAACTCTTACAAAGGAAAGCATTTAACTGGAGCTAGCTTAGAGTTTCAGAAGTTTAGTCCATTTTCATCATTGTAGGAAATATGGTGTGTGCAGGCAGACATGGTGCTGGAGAAGGAGCTGAGGGTCCCACATCCATGACCAAGGCAGCTTATAGAAGAAAGCATTTAACTGGGGGCTTGTTTATCGTTT